AAATTTTGTTTCATACTCGAGTCATTTCGTATCGTTTTATGGGATTCGTGTTTTAGTGCTTGTTGGTCAAGTTTATAATGGCCCAAAAGTGTGGTTCAACTTGAATCAAGATTGATTGTGCAGCTATAACGAAAAATTACAGATCAATTTGTTGAGAAATTTTCAAGATTTGTTTACAAGTGGGAAGGAAACGAGGAAAGCTGAATTCTTTATGGATAAATCTATATGTACATAATTATTGTAAATTATGAGTTACATAGGTTCATGTGGAAGAAATTCGACTGTGGATGTAAAGTGGGAAAAAGTCAAAAATAGTAGACTATTAATGGATGTGCGCCACATGTTAATTATGTAATGTATTATGTAAGTGATTATGTACTTGTAGCATTGCACCAACTTTACAAAAAAGTTCACTGAAATTCAGAAACTGGAATAGTCTCTTTACATAAGCCCTGAATTTTGTCTACTTTTTTGGGTCTTTTCTGCATGCAAAAATGGTTAACCATGGACTTTTTATGTGTATGGAAATATTGTCCAAACTTGTCCAAGTTGGTGGGCCTTGCACGGTTAGTGAAGAGAACAATTTACAATTCTTGAATTCAGCTTACTTTTAATAAAAAACGTGACAGGTAAATGAATAGAAGTGAGACTTAAATCAAGACGAACTTTGTAAAAGACCGTCATAATAGTTCATATACCATTTCCAAAATACTCGGTATATACATATTTAAGTTTAAGAACTTCTGGAGTTCGCAAGATAGATTACACCACTCTACATTATTAAAAACAAAAACGAAAACTCATTTATTTATTTATTTTTATCATATTACAGTCTTCAATTATACAAATCATCGTCGTCCCCAGCTGCAGTGGCAGAAGAAAACGGGTCTGAAGCTCCAGCAGCAGGTGCATTCTCAGCGTGATCTGCAAACCGGAACTCGGATCCAAATCCGCGAGATTGTTGTAGCGTCTGGGAAAAGAGCTGGTACTTCCTAATGTCAGCATCACTCACGCTTCTTCGAGCATATTTCATCGACTCCTCGAAGTGCGTCGGCTTGA